GCTCCATCAGAAAAGTGGGGTAATGTCATGTGGCATGTACTTAGGATTGTTGAGAAGAAGCATCTAAGTGTGGCAGGGAGGGGTTGCATGTGTAACATTCCAAGTAGAGTGGCTGGCACTTAGTAGGCACTTTTATAGATACTCCCCAAATTCCAGAGTGACCCAAGAGAGATCGGATTCTGAGTAAGACATGTGTATCTTCAGATTCAGAGGGCGGTCTGCAAGTCAGTCTCTGGGTTAGGCTGCCAGACACAGGAGGAAGAGAAGGCTCCCCACATACACACTCAGTACCACAGTTACTGGTGGGCCCTTAACTAGATGATTAGGATCACTGTTAGAGCCACAGCTTTGCTCTCAGGTGGGAGTGACTTCACACGGGTACACTGACAGTTGTTAGTTCAGTTGGCTGAGATGAATCACTTCATCTCTTGAGCTCCAATCCCTATCAGTAAAATAGTTTGCATAAATACCTGTTGCACACAGTCCCTGTGTACAGTAGGCCACTGTTCCTCAATCCCTCACCACAATGCCTATTCCTAGGAAAGGCAGCTACTGGCTTCATTTTGTGTGTTTATCAGGAGGGGGTGTGGACGGAGCTCACCCAGAGGAGATTTGGAGCATCTTTGGAACTCTGAGCATTGACTTCCAGCACCTTTTGGCCAGGCTGTGCAGTTCTTGGATCCGGTTATTCGAGCTCCTGAGTAACTTCAAGAGGGACAAGTTTTTTAATACCTGCCAAGGCCAAGAAACCAGAAAATTAGAGGGTTCAACCCTTCTGGGATAGCCTTCCATGCCTTAGCTGTGACTTGGCTCAGCTCCCACTGGTCCCTGGGTCTAGCACCTGGGGTAGCCCTTCAGGGGGCAGGTAGACTTCCCTAAGCAGGGGCTAAAATGGAACATCTCACCGTTTTAAGTCGGTTCCGCTCAATTAGTTTGCTGACAGGCTGATTTATCTTGTCATCCTGCAGTTTCTCATCTTGCACCTGAGGGATAAGAAGAGAGGGAGAGCTAGCATAGAAGGAAGCCCCTTGTAGGCCTGTGCTGTGTCTCTCCCATTGGCTGAGTGTGGTTTGACCAGTCCTAGACTGGGACCATTTTAACTCTGCCGGCCTCCTTTCATTCCTCATCTTTCTCTTTTCTGAAAGGCTGGAAAGTCTGTCTGTCCTTGGTGTGGCTGGACCCTCTGGTAAGATTCCTGCTATGCCTGGGCTCCAGTCCAAAATCTGACCTTGGAAGCCAGTCTATTCTTGGGCCTCTTCTTTGTAGATGGACTCATGCTGGGGCTGTAGCAGCAAGACTTGATCCAGCACTGCCTGTAGCCTGCCCCTCTCACTGCAGCCACCACACGGGCTGAGCAATATATGATGGCACTGGAGCTGCTAGGCAGGGGAGCTGTGACGTCACTGAAATGTGTGACAGCATCAGGGATGTGTCTCCGCAGGGTCAGAAGGCCACTCCCATCTGGAGACACACAGTAGGTGACAGGCAGCAGTGCCCATGATCACAGCCTCCCTGTGAGGTGAGAAGGTGGGCCCCTCCTTGCAGAGGAGGAAACTCAGACCATAGTTTACCCAGTTCACACAGCTGGTTAGTGGTAGAGCTGGGAATGTGGTGTAGGTCTGATAATCAATCCCTGAAAACTGGAGTTCCCAAGCTGTTTCTCTGTTCAGCCTTGCCTCATATATTGCCTGGCTCCTGCTTCATGTCAGGTTTTTTTTAATTCTTAGAATAAAGTGAGCCTGCATTCAGATGAGATGAGGCACAGTTAGGGTGGCATATCTGTGGACTGGCTTATGTTCTAGTGGAGGCGATTAGCCCTCAAATAGTATGTGTGCTTATCAGAAGTTTTACTGATGGAAATCTAGAAATAATCTTACAATGTTCTTTACTGCAAATTTCATTCTTCAGTTACCATTTTGGGTTTTAAAAATCACTGAATTTGTTTAAAAAAAAAAAAATCCTGTGTGTGTTGGTGGAGGTGCATGCAGAGGCCAGAGAGCATTATCCCCTGGAGTTGGAGTTACAGGCACTTAGGATCTGCTTGGGTGCTGAAAACCAAACTCGGGCCCTTTGTAAGAGAAGTACATGCTTTTTAGTCACGAAGCCACCACTCCTGCCCCCTGTTTTGTTTTTGATATCAATGTCTTGCTGTGTTGCCCAGGCTAGCCTCAAAGTTGTCTTCCTGCCTTAGTTTCCTCACTTGGAATTGTAAGCATGTGCCACTGACAACCTACCTGATATTTATATTATGCTTTTCTTGAAACTAAGTCTTCTTTCTGTGTACGGCTAGCATGCGGTTATGTCTAAGCAGATTTGGTACCAACCTAAGTGCTGGTGTTTGCATTTGAACTGAAGAGTCAGGAGCCGAAGGTGTGAGACAGGAAGTGCTGAAATTTCCTGTCAGCCCCCACTGACCTGACTGGCTTTGCATTACTATTCTTTGCTCCAATATGTTCTCCTTCTTTTCTGTATTTTTCTCATTCCATTTTGGTTTTTCGAGACAGGGTTTTCTGCCTCTTGGGTGCTGGGACTAAAGGCTTGCACTGCCACCGCCACCGCCACCCGGCCTTTCAGTTACTTTCTTAAGGCCAGATCAGTGGCCAGTCATTTTCTTCTGTAAGGGGCCGCTACACTTGTAACTGCCTACTTTAGTTCTGTATGAAGTAGCTACCGATAGTATGAAGTGAATGGGCGTGGTCTTACTGCAAGAAGACTGTTTGCAAATACCCCTGATGTGCAGAATTTGGCCCATGCCAACACAAACCAATAAACCAATACAGTGAGACCCAGCCTGCTCTGCTTGCCTCCCCTGTGAAATATTACTCCTGCAGTTAATTTCAGCTCAGTGGCGGGTGAGACTGGACTCAGAGTAGGGAAAAAATACCCAGCATGCCCTTATACATCATGTCTACTGCTCTGCAGGTCCAAAGGGCAGAGACTTGCAGGGAGGCATGTAGGCGATGGCTTTCAAAGTTAGAGGGTGACAAGTGTGAGCTTTTTTTTTTTTTTGGTTTTTAGAGACAGGATTTCTCTGTGTAGCTTTGGAGCCTATCCTGGCACTCGCCCTGTAGAGCAGGCTGGCCTCGAACTCACAGAGATCCGCCTGCCTCTGCCTCCCGAGTGCTGGAATTAAAGGCGTGCACCACCAACGCCCGAAAAGTGTGAGCATTTTTACCTTTGTGTGAGCTCAGCATCATTCATGTAATTATACATTTAGTCATTTAACCTTTGATGCTGGCTGCTCTTAAGAGCCAGCTCGCAGAGTTTCTCAACATGGAGGAACAGACTTTCCTGAGCCTGAGTCAGATTTAGCATGTCACTTATAGCAGATAGACCTAAGTGCCTGGATCGAAGTGAACAGGAAAGGGGAGAAGAAGGGTAAAGGAAGGGGTATGTTGTATTAAAAAGTGTGATTGTGCAAGCCCAGAGTCCCGGCACTTGGAAGCCTGGGGCAGGAGGATCATTAGTTCAAGTTCAGCCTGACTACACAGAGTGAACCTATCTCCAAGATAAGACAAAGCAGAGCAGGAGAGATGGCTCAGTGATTAAAAGCACATCTCTGAGTAGTTTCCAGCACCAATGTCGAGCAGCTCACAGCCACCTGTGGCGTCAGTTCCAGGGATTCTAACACCTCTGGCTTCCACAGGTACCAACATTTACGCAACCATAGGCCGGGCATGCCCCCTTCCTGCCCTCTTTCAACCCCATAGGCACCTCTAGAATGTAGGCTCCTCAACAGTTTTTTGTCTATTTCATTCATTGATAAATCTCCCAGGACATAGAACTGTGTCTGGTAGGAGCATAGATCATAATCATGCTAAAAAACAAAAACAACCCTCCCAAAATATATACTATGACTAAGATAAATGAGGACCCCAAGCTAGTCTGTGGGAATTAGGGAAGGAAATACAGACGTTAGCCAAGTAAAGGATATGAGGTGACCAGGGCCTTCTCACAAGAGGGAATTTAGAGGGTGTAGGTGTGCAGTGTGTTTTACTGGGGAAGACGGGGGGCCAAGTGTAGCAGGGTGAACCTGGAAAAGAGGGCATGACTTAGGTGCTGTGTGCTCAAGAGCCAGGCTGAGAGCCTCACAGTCCTCTCTGAGGGCACCAGGAGGACTCAGCCTGTGGAGACACTGGCTTGATTCTGTGCTGGGGCAAGCCTGCCTGCCTTTGTCATTCTGCTCCAATTCATACATTTTCAAAACATGTTTGTAAGGCTGTACCCTGTAGAGGAGTTTTGGGCTTATATCAAAATTAAGTAGCTAGATGTGATGCACACCTTTCATCCCAGCACTTGGGAGGCCGATATCTGTGAGTTCAAGGCTATCCTGGACTATATATATAGCTCCATAGTGAGACCCTGTCTCAACAAGAAAAAACAATTAGGTAATTTCCCATAATCCTCCCACCCTTGTATGTGAGTTGCCCCCTCTTCTCTCCATAAACATTAGCAGTTAAGCTTCTGACAAACATACTGTGTGATACATTAGCATTATTACCCAGAGGCCATCCTTTATGTTAGGGTTCCCTCTTGCTGTTGTCCACTGAATGAATGTTCAGTAACATTGCCCTAAAAATCTGGGGCCATGCTTTATTTATTCCTCCTTCTCCACCAAGCCCTGGCAAACACTGACCTCTTTACTGTTGGCATAGTTTTGCCTTCCAGTGTGTCCTGTGGTCAAAATAAATAAATGTCTAGCCATTTTGGATTGGCATTTCTTTCTTTCTTTGAGACAGGGTTTCTCTGTGTAGCTTTGGAGCCTATCCTGGCACTCGATCTGGAGACCAGGCTGGCCTCGAACTCACAGAGATCCGCCTGCCTCTGCCTCCCGAGTGCTGGAATTAAAGGCGTGTGCCACCAACGCCCCGCCGGCATTTCTTTAATAAGCATTTAAACAAACTCCATGTCTTTCCATACCTTGATTGCTTGCCTCCTTTCAGTGCTGAATAATTGTTGTTTTCATGAGTGTCAGTTTGTTTATCCCTCACCTACTGAAGAATGCCTTCTGTGACTCCAGCTTTGGGCAATTATGAGTAAAGCTGCTGTGCACATCTGTGTTCAGGTGTCTATGCAGACACACACTTTCCACACCCTTGGATAAATGCCTGAGACTGCAACTGCTGATCAGCTTAGTCTTGTAAGATAGCACCAAACTCTTCCTATGTGGCTATAACTAAGACAACCTTTATAAGTTTTGTTTTGTTTTTAAACATAGGGTCTTGCTACATAGCCCAGCCTAGCCTGGAACTCACTACATAGTGCAGGCTGGTCTTAAACTGGCAATCTTTCTGTCTTTTAATGTCCAGAGTGCTGGGAGTGCTGCGGCTCTAGATGTGAGCCGTCACACCCAGCTTAGTCAACATGGTCGCACGTCATCTGCTTCCCTACCTTCCTGAGCAGTTCATACCCAGGAGACAGATTGTACAGCAACAGTGGCTCATGAGCAGTCAGTCTTCCACAGTCCATTTGTTTGCTCTTTCCATTTACACAGGGAAAATACAAGCTTTCATGGGGGAGAGAGATCTGCCCAGTGACATGACTGGTAAGCCTTGAATAATAAATACAAGAAAGCTTTTAAAAATAGGTAGAGTGAAGCTGGGCAGTGGTGGCGCACGCCTTTAATCCCAGCACTCAGGAAGCAGAGGCAGGTGGATCTCTGTGAGTTCAAGGCCAGCCTTGTCTACAGAGTGAGTTTCAGGACAGTTGAGGCTTCACAGAGAGACCCTGTCTCTAAAAACAAACAACAAAAGTATAGTGAATAGAACATATAATTTATCAACTTCTGGTTTTTTTATTCTTTGAAGACTTCATACCCATACACAGTGTATTTTGGTCATATCCACCCCCATTCCCTCCCTCTCATCTCCTCCTGGATTCCCTCCCCAATCCATCTCCCTCCTAATTTAAAAATCCTCTCTGTTATTGTAACACACTGAGTCCAGTTAATGCTGCTCATATGCTCATGGGTACCAAGTCATCTACTGGGGCCTGAACCACCTACCAGTGGCCACCCCTGCTGGTGTGATGGAAAACATTCCCCCATAGGCTTATATTTTTGCATGCTTAGTCCCCAGTTGATGAGCTGTTTGGAAGAGATTAGGTATAGCCTTGTCAGAGGAAGTGTGGCCTTGTTGAAAGAGGTGCATCAATGGAAGTGGGCTTTGAGGTTTCAAAGGCCCAGGCCAGGCCTAGCGTGTGCTGCTGCCTGTGCTTCAGGATGTAAAACTCTTCAACTACTGCTCCAGCTCCATGCCTGTGTGCTTCCCACACGGTGGTAACAGGTCAGTACCCTCTGAAACTGTAAGCAAGTAACTGTAATTGTAACCCCAATTAAGTGCTTTCTTTTATGAGTTGCCTTGGTCATGGTGTCTAACACCACCCCAAAGAAAAAAGACTTCCTCCTGTGCCCATGCACCATAGCACTTGTGTGGTTTGTCCTTTCACTTTCTCTGAAATTAAAATACAGTGACATCTTTTCTGCCCTCTCTGCCCCTCCCGCTTTACTCCCTCTCAAATTCATGGCCCCGTTTTAAAACTTCAAAAACACAACTTGGCAGAATATGATTTTAGGCTGAGCAATTGATGTTAGATAACCAACTTAGGGGGCTCATTCCTAGGGAAGACTATTTCTCCCAGTGTCAGCACTGCTTAGTTCTTTGTGTGTGAGCACATAACCCCAACCCTCGTGAAATTTGCCCTCCATGTTAGCATGGCTATTGGTGTTGCATTTCTTCAAATCTTGATTAGGCAGCCATGCTGTTGGGGTATCATGGGTAAAGCTTCCTGTCATTTCTAGGAGACACAATCTCACAGATTTCCTGGGCCTTTGGCGCTCACAATCTCCCTACCTCCTCTTCCTTGATGCTCTCTGAGTCTTGTTTGTTTTTCAAGGCAGGGTTTCTCTGTGTAGCCTTAGCTGTCCTGGAACTCATTCTGTAGACCAGGATGGCCTCAAACTCATGGAGATCCACCTGCCTCTGCTTCCTTTTTATTTTTTTGGTTTTGGTTTTTCGAGGCAGGGTTTCTCTGTGGCTTTGGAGGCTGTCCTGGAACTAGCTCTTGTAGACCAGGCTGGTCTCAAACTCACAGAGATCCACCTGCCTCTGCCTCCTAATTGCTGGGATTAAAGGCGTGCGCCTCCGTGGCCAGCCTTCTGCATGTAGGAATTGTGTTGTAGTGAGATCACAGATCTTATGGAACATATTTATTATTCCCCACTTCATTAAACCAGCATAATTCCTAACTGCATTCAGGATCTTTGCTCGGAAAGGTATAATACATCTGGCAACTTTGAGAGATGAGATAATCTTTCTCAAACCAAAGAAAATTTGCAAATCTTTCCAGTTTTCTTTGAATGTATAATCATTTCAATTTTTTAAAAATAATTTTAGGGCTGGCAAGATGGCTTTTGGGTAAAGATACTTGCTATAAAGCCTGACAACCTGAGTGTGATTCCTGGACCCCACACGGTAGAAAAAGAAAACCAAATCCTGCAATTTGTTCTCTGACTTCCACATGCACACTGTGACAAGCTGTAAGTAATAGGTACATTTAAATTAAAAATATTTTAAACAGTGAGGAAGGTCCCCTGAACTCCACAAGTCTGTTGACAGGCACAGGTTGGAAACACCTCACCTGTAATGGAATACTGAACACACAAAGGTGGGATGATTGAGAACGGAGCTCAAGGCAGAGTCCTTAGCACGGTGTGATGGCACATACCTGTAATTCCAAAATCAGGGGGGCAGA